TTTTTTGAAAAGTTAAGCACAAATATGACTAAAAAATTTGAAAAGAACTAGCTCACGAATCCGCCCATATTCTGGAAAAAATGTTTACGCGAAAGGGATCGAATAACCGTCTACTTTTTGTATTCAAAACGAAACTGTTCTAAGGATCACATATTGCAAACATTACTAACATTAATCTTAAAGCATCAGGAAAAAGCTTTAAAGCCGTAAGATTGATTGTAGTTTGCTGTAGGGCACGGACTTCGCGGCGTATATGCCGTCTAGCATTAGAAATTCAGCAGCTCCATGAACTTTTCGGAAATGTTCATATCGTCCCGTATTCTTTTTAAATAGTCTCTCACGCTTCAGTTTTTGCTTTTATTATTAAAGCATCTTTGAGCAATTACAGGCGAAACAGCCCTTCAGCCATGCTTTCGATCAAAACCGAGCTTGTGAAACCGTAGTGTCATTGTTTTTTATTTGGTATAGAATTCTCCCATGTGGTTCTCCACATTATGAGATTTCTGAGTATACCACTTAATCCTATACGTATGGCATAGGGGGTCAGCGGTAAAGTGAATATTGTGGACTCTATTTTCAAACGTACACCTTGTTCCACGGCACACCTTGAATCCTTATCACGATTGGCAGCTCCTAGTGGTGTTGTTTACGTCTTGTGAGTAGTATGATTTTGCCATCTGTCTCCTTCCACCATGCCATAATACTTATAAACCAGAGTCCCTTGGTTTTGGTAAATGCACTGTATTACAACCACTGTGTCATCTATTCACATAGTATTGCTCGAACAGTTGCTCTATTTCTCTCATTTGACCCCCCTTAATAGAAGAAGATTTCTGAATCTTCCTCTTTTATGGCATTGTGAGGAGCCTATACTATGCCGGCGAAAGGTGGATTTCATGTGTGATAGAGAGTAGGTATGCATGTTTTCGAAAAATGAATAGTTCTTCAACGTTATTCATCTGTTTTGTGTATTTACGTGAGCTCGAAAAGGAGCTTTCGAGCAGTGCCTTCGATATAACTTTGTGATTGCAAGCCCTAATAGGACGGGTAGTATCTATTATCAGATTATGATAAGACAGCCGTCTGGGTTCCATGGTGTTATGATAGGCTATCAGAGTTCCAATATTTTTTGTTTGTCGCGAATTGGGGTATCATAGCAATAAGGAAGAAAACTGGACGCTATCTTTGAGGGCTTTCAAACAAATACCTAACATCCTTGTTTTTCTTACAACCTTTTACATCCATGGCTTGCCAGAATTGCAAGTTTTAGCCCTGAAGTATAACTCGGCGTGGGAAAGTTGAGCGAACTTCTTCGAACCGTGTACCGAGTTGACAAGAAATTAGGTTTCTGATGTTTCAAGGAGAAAAGTTCACTGAGGGACCACTGTGCAATGTTCGCTGTCACTGATGCGTTGCCACTGCCTTTGCAAAACTTGTTCTTAATCTTGTTGTCTTTTCTTAATTTTTGACGCCGTGCTCTTCAGCATCATGCAGAGTCCTTTTCACCCTCCATTTTTTTTATCTCATTACAAGCTCATGAAATCCAATCACATCGACTGTAGTAAAGTAAATACAGCCTAGCCTATGGGAGGTTTTAAACTTCTTGCTTAATTCTCTTCGAGTGTTCGAACTTGCGACATTTCTTATTTTTTTTTTGCATTTCCTTATTATGCGGTAGCGGTTTTTGCTTATAACTTGGTCAAGTGATAGGAAGTAAGTAATATTGTTCGATACAAGCCTAGCTGTTAACATAATATTCCAGCTCCGTTCTTGAGATTCCAGTTCATTCCTTACTGCTGAGAACTGGTGTCTTTCTTATGATTAGTCGACTGTTTGATCCAAATTATTTGTGACAGCATTGGCCAATGTTTTACCTCATCAAAGGTAAACTCATGAGCCATCATGTATTTTTGAAGTAGGTTATTTCGTTGATATTTCAAACCTTTTACTGGGAATATAGTGTCTTTTTGGAAAGCTGAATAGAGTCTTTACTACGAAACTTTCCGGAAAAGTAGTTGCGATTGCTATTATAACAATTCGCATACTCTGTGCATATGCTCTCTGAAATTCCCAGCACCATCCAGTTACTTGGGCGTTTTCTAAGACTAATTTGAAGAATATCAATCGAATTAGGTTGGTAGTTACAGGAATAACAGATCACTTTGAAATGTTGTTTACTCCTCTGCCAAATGAAAAGGAGTAGGGAAATGCTATAACTGATTAAAGAGCAATACAATAAAAACGAGAAATCATGCCCTCCACGATATAAAAGTCATCGTTTTGATTTTCGTAATCAGTTATGAATCACCACACAACACGAGGCCTAACGTCGTATTCGCTTAAAGAATGGAAAAAAGTGATATGTGTTTCAATGAGTAACGTAACCATAACATTATTGGTTGAAAGTAATAGAGCGGTCCAACTATGTACACCAATTAAAAGTGCATGTTTGTGTTGGCAGTACTACTTCTCCATCAATAACTTGTTGCGCTTGTTTCATTAATACTTTTTATATAGCTTAGTGCTTTCTCGAGGTCGTTTCAGCAATTCACTGCCTCGCAACCATTCAACCCACTTTCTCCAAGGGATTATTGTCACGCTCGCTCGCACGGAAACTAGTTTTTGAAGGTCTTCGAATTCCAACGAGAAGAGCAACATTACGTGGCCAACTGGAATGCTCTCCAATGTTTATTCTCGGCTGTGAGGTCAGGTCACTGTGAGTGGCTCGGAACTTTTGCATGAATGAGCCACCCAGTGACTTGACCCCATAACTGAGAAGTAACCTTGACCAAATCTTCTCATTGTGTAATAAGCTTCGTACGATTGCGTATTTTAGCTCGTTCCCGTTCTTACCATGGGGCAAAATGATTCAAAAAAAGTTTATTTTGCCTTGTCTATTGATATATCGCTGTACTGCAAAAGTACTGAGGGCTTTTATGGTAACCCTTGGATCTGAGCAAATTTGTGGGTGGGAGCTTTTGAGACCTCATCAAAAGGTGCCCTATATTTACTTCCTTTTTTTGTGGTAGCTTATACAGTGCCTTGTACATCTGCTTTCCTTTACGGTAGGCTATCACTGCGTTTCTCTACTGGATCGCAAGCAACACTGCCTTTTGAAGACGTGCATCTTTTAAAATCACTCGAAGAAGCGAATCGAGTTTGTCGTAGTTTTTCGATGGATTCTGTTGGTTTCTTCAAATCACACGTTATGCTAACACAACCAGTTCCATTTTCGCTTACAGTCATATTATTGTACCTATACAATGCTAGGATACAATGCTAAGTCTATGTTGGATGGCTAATAACAACTTTGATGGCCCCCATTCAGTAAGACGGACAAAGGCTATGGTCTCCTGAGGTTGAACGATCCTATTTCGGGATGCGCCTTGCAGTCAGCTCCATTCAGAATAGTAGCGCTTTGATTAGGTATATGGCCCAAATGACTCGTGGTGCCAGCCTATGTTCAAACTAATGCTATGTTTTATATTTCAAGATGGAACTGTTACCAATTGACCGACTCTGAAGTGAAGGAAAATGTGATAGGCTTCGTCGGGTATAAATTCGGTATTCGATTTCCGGACCATTCATATGTTAGGGCCCCACTAGGAAAAACACCGTTTCTACCCCAAAAGAGTTGCGATAATAAAAGGTGAACATATGTGATATAAAGAATGTTTGACCTATTTTGCAATTGAAACAATCCCACCGCATCAGGTGCAAAGTGATCTGTAAACTTTGCTCCAATCTTTTTCCATACGGAGTTAGCAGGCGATAAATGTATATTACCATTTTGAC